GGCACAGAAAAGGCATAGGGGTGTGTGATGACGAGCGTATATCTGTGGCTGTCTGAAATACTGGTCGATGTTGCAATGTGTATGAACTGATATACATGACTGCTCAATTCTACGTGATTAGCTTTTTCTTCTGAATATGATCTAGACCTGTCACGATAATCCTTATATCAACTTATCATTCAATATATGAAAGCTGTATCAATGTATTTTGGGACTCAATCTTTATCGTGGATTGTTTTTCTTTGCAAAATCTGGGCAATTTTTCTTATTTTTATAAGGTTTGTGCTGCAGAGGGTAGAATAATTCATTTCTGTGGCTAATTATTGCGTCATTCGGCTATTTATATGCTGCAGCTCCAGACTTTTAATGATGCTCTAATTGAAAAAGTTTTTATTGGGATTATCTTGCTTTATTTTAATTGTGTTAGTGGCATAAAATAGTTTCAGTATTATTGTATCATGACAGGCCTAGTATGAAAGTTTGATATTTTATTAGGAATGTAACAATACGATATCGTCACTGTATGAACCTAATGGTACGATATTTATTGCGATATCATGGGAAAGCTCATGATATGGTGGGGAGGCTCACGATTAGGGATGTAACAATATCCAAATCTCTATTTTCATGATATACATCTCACGGTTCAATATTTATTATGATATTTTGTGGAGGCTGCGAACAGACCTGTTAATATGCTACTTTTTCCTCTTAAAATGCCTTGACAAGACTTAATCCAAAGAACTAAAACTTAAAAGTGCTTAGAACTGTTATTTCTTCTTGTAGTCTACACTGAAATGGAGCAGAGGATCATGGTCTATTCCCTCTGTCTTTTTTTTTTAGCTATTGCTGCACCATAACTCTTAATTCAAGCAAAGAGACTTGTAATTCAATATATTGTGGTCCACAGTATTATTGTGAGAACTCTGATGATACGATATCATGATATTTTGATATATGATATATTTGATATATTGTTACATCCCTATATTTTATGCATCTTATATTAAGCAATTCCATTTTCTTGAGCTCTCTTCAAAACGCATGTTGATAATTGGGTAACTGTAACTGAAGGTCTAGTAATAATAATAATAATAATAGCACAGTTTATTAGTAGTACTGGTAGAGTAGCTAGTTTCAACACAGGCGTTGTCTTGACAAAGTTAGTATTAGCTTGCAAGTTTACAGCTCACCAAGATAAACTTTATTGTTCATCCCAACAGAGAGTAAAATATTTGGCTCAGCTTAAGTCACAAACATAAATACACAGAGGCCAGAGTGGTGTTCTTGTTCTTAGTGAACACTTTGTTCTTGGTAAGAGGAACTTTATATGTCCTGCTTAACACCAGCGGTTTTAGTATTACAGAACTAGTATGCATGCTTGTGTGTATTGATACGTCCAGTCTGGTCATTCAAAAAGCCACAACCCTGACGATTTAAGTGATAAACAACACCTTACTGACGCAAAGTATTAACCTGAACACCTGTCATTTGGCATGCATAAAATCCTCCCATAATGATACCACAAATTCACCTCTTTTAAATGGCCCATATGCCTGTCTCTCTGCCCATCTGCCGGGCTCAGTGTGGAACTAAACTATGTTTCAGGTCACCATGCAGATTGTGCCAGGGCAAAGGCAAAGCGCACTCAGACACAAGGCTGTCCCTGCCGACAGAAGGGCTCAGAGTGTGGGTAATGAGAAACGTCCTCATGCATGGAGGCGGTCGTCAGCAGGTCTCTCCAGCAAACACTCTGCACTTCTGATAAAGACAAAGACACTAGAGGGGGTTAAAAATAAGTCTCACTTCATGCCACTCCATTTCGAGCATCAATCTTTCATTTGTTTGAGTTAAACTTAGACTTAAATAACCTTAGACTCAAATAGTACAGATTGTGTTCATCTCTGTACCATTTTCTGTTTGTTCTGCTGTGACAAAGCTCAAAATAAAGATTATTATTATTATTAAAACTCTCTCCCTTTCTCTTAGTTTCTCCAGATTTACTGGTGTTAGGCCTTTCACAATAACAAATTTTGAAGTGTGATACATTGCTGAAGTAAATATAGACTATAAATGATAATATGGAAACTATTTTATGTCACTGACACAAAAACCCAAGAGCACACAAGAGAGCAAACCCCAAATACTGTTCTGTATGTACAAAATTGTCATGAGCTGCAACAAATAAACAGCAGAATGAACACTTTAGTATTTACTTTGCATCTGTAATGAGCCATAGAAGTTAGTTATTCAACCTTCTGTGGCTCAAATATTATCACATAGCCAAAAAATAACCAAACATTTCCCAGCAGTGCAAAGAAAGTTCATACAATAATTATTGACCTGCAAAAAATATTGTTCCATTCATCATATATTGAACGTAGTAATTATCATGACAGGCCCAAGTGGTGTGGAAGTGGATTTGATGGTCTTGCAGTGGTAATGCAGATACTGGTTGTGTCAAGGTTACTCATTTTGATGACTTGCATTTGAAAAGCTGGCAAACCTCCCACTTCTCTACACTTAACTTATTTTAGACTATACGAGAAATCTGTTCAGTCAGTATAGAGCAGCTTGAAACTTTAAGATGCACTATGTAACTCTTTTGGTTTGGGGTTCATCACCTGGTTTTTACTATGGATACGTCATTGCTCTGCCTGGAATGTTCCACAGTACGGCAGTAAACAGCTGTACCTTACATTTATTAAATAGAAGCTCAAAAATACCTAGAGAAACAGGCATTCTGACTGTGAGCGGGATTACCTCTCCACAGATCTGAACTGTAGCTCAGTCTAGTTTGAAGATAGATGAAGATAGAACATTTTAATGCCATATTGTGCAACATTCCAGCCAAACAATAACATCTTCATAGAGAAAAACATTTGACGGTTACAGTGTACCTTCTAAAATTACCTTTCTTTTTATAAGATACAGTGGCTATTGATTGTTAGAAACTACAGTCCAGTATTTTAGCCTGATGTCATGTCACTGCATTTCTTGGCATCTTGAGTCCTTTCCACTGAGACTGCAGTGTTCAATTAAGTGTTTGTCCTGGTTTCACCTCAAGAGCTGAATACAGAAGCGAAAGAGAAGAGAAATGAGAGGAGAGGAGAAAAGAGAGGAGAAGGCCTGCATTTGGAGAGCTGTTCTGCAGATAGTCTGTGAGGAAGAGCTGTGCCGGAGCCCTGGATGTGGTCAGACTGACACGCTGAGTACAACATACAGATAAGAACATGTCCCGTTATAGATCAGTGGCCCTCATTGTGAAAGTCACTCGTGTAAATAGAAGCGGATGTATTTATATAGGCCTGGCTTGCTGCCTGATTGATCTGAAACGTTACACTGCTGTCCTCCAAACCACAGCGCATGCACGCACAACATAAACATGGAAATAACTTTATATACACTCTCTAGGCTTGTCACAGTAACACATTTTGAAGTGTGATATATTGCTACAGAGAAATACTGAGATAAACAATAGTATTGAAACTACTTTATGCCACTCTCACAAAGCAGGATAATCCCAGTAAACAATTTTTAAATAGACAAGATAATAAAAAGGAGGAGCTGTAGAATTAGCCACAGTTATTTATTCTACCTTCCACAGCTCAAATGTTACCTCAATATATAAAAATGACAAAATCTCCCCACTATTGTAAAAAAAAAGTAGTACCTATGATATAACTGAACCATAAGTCGACACTCTCTAGTCTAACGCTTTCTTGTTTCAGCACATTGCTGTGAATATGTATAGAGGGAAATTTGGTAGTGATTAACATCTGACCATCGGAAGTATTTTCATATTTGTATTGATGTTAATCATTACAGAGAAACAAACAGTTCTGATTATTACAGTTCTAGATTACAGATTAGTGAAAGACTTGGACTAAAAAAACGTATGTAGCTATTATTTTACTATTTTCCATTTGTTTTATTGCCTAACACCTATCCAACATTTGTGGTAACTTGGCTGACCCTGACAATGAAAAGAAAACCTAAAAAATGCATAACTTTTCAGTCTGAAGCTCACCTCATTTTGTAAAACCAGATGTCAAAAATGTTCTTTAACTCCAAGTGGTGTGGTCTTGGTCCGGTCTGTTTTTCCACTCCTCTGTTCTTTCCCTGTGTAAATCAGGTGTGCTGTCGGTGGCACTGTGTGTGGCCCTTCCTCATGCCCATCTCAACCATCTGTGAAACTTGTGTATTTGCTTCTGTAACTGTGTGACCGGGGCTCATGTGTTAGCTTCACTTAGAGACAACATTGACATTTAAAGCAGCGGGATAAGCTGCCGCTCACACCATGCGCCTAAATGTCAGCGCAGACTACTTATTATGGCTTGTCCATATTTCGCCTTCGCCCTTCTGCCTCTGTCTTTGAGGTTTTGGTCATAATAGTTCCCCAGCCACCTGTGCAGTCCTCACCCAGAGAAGACTAAAACAAGACTTCAGTGTCTCTGTGTCATGGTGAGAGTGAATAGCAATCAGAAATATATTAGCATTTTGTCTCAAGGCTGTCGCCAATCAATCTTGATTCTGACCATTTCAGTACAGACATACAAGAATAGTGAATAACAGTTATCTAAGCACTTTTAAGTCTTATGACATTCTTTGGATTAAGTCTTGTCAAGGAATTTTATAATGAAATATCATATATCATGAAAAAGTTATCTGATTAGTTGTGATCACTGATTTCACAATATAACAAGTCCAATAAAAAAGAGAAAAAGATATATGTAATATTCTTGCAATATAATGTTATGAATGGAATCATTTAAAGGTGTCTAATGTAACTTATCCATGGAAATGGATAAGTTTAATTCATTATGTGGAAAATTCTGGGCAAAGCATTTACATTTCCATGGAGACAAGCACCTACCATGTACGCAGCTTTAAACGAATTATGCTTGTATTACTGCAAGTTGGATAAATTGTTATCTGATTTTGTCTTGTGGGATATATTTGTAATTATTTGGACCTAAAGTATTTTGTATTTTCTCCAGGATCATTCATGAGGATGGTTTCTCCGGTGATGACGTGAAGCAGTACAAGCCAGTCGTGTACAGCAACACCATCCAATCGCTCGCCGCCATCGTCCGTGCCATGGATACACTGGGTCTTGAGTACGGGGACAAAGAACGCAAGGTCAGCTCTCACCCGCACGCCACACAAACCGGTCTGACCAAACCTAATAGAGGTTACTCTGCACAAGTCTCTTCACTACTACAGTAATTTTCACAGAGCACCACTACAGGCGCAAACATGTGAACATTGTGTCTCATCTCAAAACTGTGAACTCAGTCAGACAAAACCGAGATTTTGATCAACACCACCCAATTTAGCTGCTTCCAGTTAAGATTCACTGTCAGTTTTTCAATCTTTGTACACACAGCATCAAAACTTTCATGAATGTATGTGTAGTTTTTAAACTGAGCTTATACATATGCTATTAATTCTGTACATCAATCTATAAACCAACTAAAATCAGCACTGTAACACATAAGATCCCACAACTTACATTTTAATTATGCATATCTATATATATTAAACACATATATGTGGTATGTCTCAGAATGTATAGTTAAAGGGCCTGTATTAAGCTATTTTCTGATCTCTGTTGTAATGCTGTTTCCTTATCGCAAACGTACCTGGAGTTGTGTTTTGTTCCATTTACACATGTTAAAATAACACACAAATCCTGCATATTTAGGCTGAGGTCTTCTCTCAGGCAGAAAACACTCACTAGAGTTACTTGGATAATTTCAGTCCTGGAATTGTCAGTCTCTACTGAACTAAAGGTAAAATGTAGCTGTTAACTTGAAAAATACCACTTCATGACATCACAAGGTAGAATAGAGCAGTACTCAAACATGTCTGAATGAAACAAAACAGAACTCTCTGTATGCTTTTGATGAGAAAAGCATTATAACATATCTTAAAACTCATAAGATTACGTGTGTAATATCGGACCGTCAATGGACCATGTCAATTTGTTTCCCTTTTTATTTTGAATGCTAACAGAAATACATGAGCACATTTATACTTTCAGATTTTCTTTGTTTTTACGATGAGTTAGTGATAAAAGACAAGCATTGGCAGATTCCACCCACTCTCTGCTGATTCCCAATATTTATGCTCAGAGATGAACAGTGGAATGCGTCTCTCTGTAAGCACCACTAATTCCGGCTGTAAATCTCTTGTAGCCTGGAATTGATCTGTCAGAAATTGAAATTGTCGTAGCGAGTGTGGCCGACACACACCAGTGGACAGGAAGCACTGGGATTGAGCCACTGCCAAAGACTGTGGCTGCGCCCTGTTTAAACAGATTTATGGAGGTTGTACACACTATTTCTGCACGGAAGGCTGGAGTGGATTTTCTGTATTTCTCTCCCAAAAATCTCTTATTGTGTCTCTTTGAGAATTCAAATCTGATTTCAAAATAAATGCACCACAAACTACTGGGCCTGTCACAATAATTGGCTTGTCTTTCAATAAATGTTAGCTGGAGCAGTATATTTTGGGTATTTAGTATTTATCGCGTGTGGAATTTCTTTGCAAAAATTGGGAGATTTGGGGTGTTTTTGTTGTAATAAAAATAGATTTGATCTGTAGAAAGTTGAAAAAGTGACATCTATTATTGATTAATTCTGTTATTTATTTGTTGCAGCTCAGGCCTTTTAATGATGCTGCCTGTTCTAAAAAAAAGGGTTTGCTGAGATTGTCTTGCTTTATTGTTTTTGAGTCAGCTGTATAAAGTACTTTGAGTATTACCTTTTATCGTAAAATTTCTCTGGAGCTATTTATTGTGCTTCAAGATTGGTTATTGTGACAAGCCTTCAAACTACCTACATCATGTCTAGAATTTTGTTCAAATATTTCGTTCTCAGCAGACTGTGCGTTCATTTCCTGTACCACCCTTTTCTCAAATTGCTCATCATCATTGAATTTTCAGGCTAAACCCCACACAATCCACAGCAGTGACATGAAATAAAAATTTATTTTAGAAACCTCATAAAGCATCTGCAATGCAACAGGCCTCTGTTTTAGCCATATCTGTCTTTCAGCAGCTAGTAATGAAATAATAATACTTTTCTGGTAGGGATGTAACGATAACTGAAATATCGTAATATTGTATCGTCAGAAGTCTCATAATAATATCGGAGGCCCTCATAATATGTGGAATTACAAATCTCTTTGCTTAAATTAATAGTTATGGTGATTTGAATTTCTTTCTTTGTGATTTGAATGGCATTCTTATTCTGTAAATCACTTTGAATTACTTTGTGTATGAATTGTGCTATACAAATAAACTTGCCTTGCCATGCCAGGGTGCAGCAATAGCTAAAAAAAAACTGAGGAAACTACATAGACCATGATGAAATAGTATCGAGGGCTTTGATTTTGATATTGTTTCATCAATATTTTGTGGTGGAGGGTCCATTAAATGTTTTTCTCCATGGAGACAAAACACGACCAAGTTACAGGTCAGATCTGTGGAAAGGCAACCCCTTTCACAATCAGAACGCATGTTTCTCTAGGTATTTTTGAGTGATCAAAACATCTGTAATTTATTAAATGTAAGATAGAAATGTTTAATGTTATACTGTGGAACATTCATGACATATCCATAGAAACAAGCAGGTGATGGACCCACAACCAAGGAGTTACATAATTCACCTTTAATAGATTGAACAGTAGAAAGACCTTGTAGTTTGACTTCATTATAATGCCGTCTTATGATCTTGGCGTTGCTGTAAACTATAAAATGTGCCAGTCTGCATCAACATTGACTTTGGCTGTGAGTGACGGCTATTAATCATTTTTATTTACGAACGGTACCCACTGTGGGCAGGTCTGATGCATCAGGCCGATGTGAAGGGCTGCCAGCTCACCCCGTCAAGTTCTTGCCAAATTCTCATCATGCCAGTCTAAGTTAGTCCTGCTTCCAAGTCCCCTAAACCCCCAAGCACACAAGTTCAAAATACAAGATAATTTGGGGATTATAATGGAAAATTGTAGATAGGCACCATTTCATTATTGTCTGCTAATAGTGAGGGCTTAGGGTTAATTTCTGACATAACCATGAGACTAATCTTTTGTGTTGATTGATGTTCCAGGATGCATATAACAGAGAACAACACTCTTTAAGTTAACAAACTGGTTGATTGCAATGGAAGTTGTATACTTTGCAGTTTAAAGGATTAATTGTGTGCCATGTTTAGGTCCTCAGAGCCTTTATTCTGGGTCAGTGTTCTGTCATCTTGATGCAATTAGTCTGCACAGGCTGGGAAAGATGTGTCTTGTAATACAAAATACATAATGATGTTATTATATGGTTCACTATACCTTTTATTCAACCAGGGTTGCATTCCAAATGGATACTTATTATAACATTATTGTATTGTCTCCACTAGGCCTGCCATGCTAATACATTTTTACAGGCCTGAGCTGCAACCAATAAATGGCAGAATGAAGCAATAATTAGCCATCAAAGTTACTTATTCAACCTTTTACAGCTCAGATGTTATCGTATTACAGCAAAAATACCCCAAATCTCCCCACTATTATAAAGAAATTTTTACACACAATATAGTATTTATTAAGACAATTCTAACTGGGGGCATTCACTTTCCATGGTGTTAGCTGCTGGTTCAGCTGTGCTTTGTGAAACGCAGCACAATGGATTTGATGGAAGTTGGAGTGTAACTAACAGACAGAATGCTCTTGGATAAGCTCACCAGAATAGTCTATAATGAGAAGGCTACCATTACCCAGGCTCACATTATCTCTCAAACACACACAGCAGCAGAGGCACAACCACCAGAAAGGCACATGTCATTGCTCTTAACCTTTTCCAAAGGCACAGCATATTTTTATTCACAAGGCGTCCATTGATACTTGGTTAGAGAGCTGAAATAACAATACACCTATTGATCAGAATACAATATCTGTGTGTGTTTGTGTGTATCTATGTAAATATATGTGATACTGCTTTCCTGTTGGAGGTGAAAGAAGGGCTCAGGGCCACAGGGACATTTGTTTCAATTCTAAATGTGTGAGGTGGTCATTAAGGGCAGAGGTCATGTGCTACAGGAATGTCTAGCTCATCTCCCTTTAATATAAAGCTGTGAGAATTCTTTAATAAGTATAGTCAGCACATGTAATGCTTTTAAATGAATTTACTTTTCAATGCCGAACTTATAGACAGTGGAATGCAATGGAAAAAAAAAAAACTTGCGGGTAATGGAAAGGAGCAGAAGTGACAGGAAGTGGAGCAGAGCACAACCTGTGTGTTTCCTATTTCCTCTAAATGTCACCCATGTGGGGTACTCCTGCAGCCTCCAAGAAGCTGTTGGACCATAAACCCCCCAACACAAACACACAGCTCTTCCTGTCATGCTCATTTAGTCTTCATTCATTTGGTGATGGCACCTCCATTTGTGCCTGTGGCCTCGGGTAGTTACTGTGGTAACACCGTGTTTTGCTCTGTCTTTGCTTGCTCTCAACACATTCCACAAGCTTGTGTCCAAGGGCTCTGGGACGCATACACGAGCTCACATGTACCATGATAACAGGCTGGAAATAGACAGCCCTGCACTATGAATCTGCAAGAGGTTTTAACTGGGTTAAACAACAAGCAGTTTGCAGCTCAACTTAGTGATATAACCAATGAACTCAGCCTAATCTTTATAAAGATTACATGAAATCTTCTGTGGTGTGGGTGTGCATGATAAGGATTTAGTTCTTTGGGGCCTTTCATGTTTTGGGAATCACTGCAGTGTCCCCTGAATAGTATCACCAGATTTTAAAAGTATGCCTAGAGCAATTGCCAGCGATGGACTCTCGTCATCTTTCTTTCTCCACTGTGTGCCAGTGTAGGATGCTCTGGCCTGGGGCTCCATTTTCTATACACTAATTGCTTGAGTGCATCCACACTATTCTCCCGGCGCAGCTTCCCACCCGTACATTATGTTTGTGCATGCGCGCTCAGCAGTAAATGTTGGATGCCTTCAGATGCGCTCAGAGGAGGAGATGGAAGAGAGAAATGAGGCGGTGCCTGTAAGGAACACTGTGCTCATCTGAACAGAATCAGGAAATTATATGTGTTCCTTCACCAAGTCTGAATTATTTAGATAAAAATATTG